GGGAAAGAATGTTGACAACTCTATTTCCTACTTCTACCCGCGTTTGTTTTGACCGTAAGCATGGATGGCCCCTTCCTTCCTTCCTTCCTTCCTTCCTTCCTTCCTTCCTTCCTTCCTTCCTTCCTGCTCTCCTCCCGCCAAGGTGTAGAGTCGAAGCCCACGCATCAAAAAAACAAAATCCAGATTGTTGTACTCCCCATTAAATAAGCAATAAGTTGTTTTTGTTGCTTAAAAAGTTTTTTCTTGATGCTTATAAAGTTTTTTTTGATGCTTATAAAGTTTGTTTAAGCCCTATCCCAAATATCTGCTCCCATATGAAGCAAATACCATCTTTCGCCGCCGGCAATTTGGGCCTTCATGATGTTCATCAGCTCTGTGATGTTTCTTTTGCGGTCCTGGCCAATGCTGCGGAATCGTTGCAAGATGCAGAGCAGGGGCTTCAATACTTGTAGCCAGCATCACCAGAAATGGACCCACATCGAAGTCGGTATTCGTCACGAAGTCCCGCGCCTGATAAATGTGCAACAGTTGGTACTTAGGCAACAGCGGCTGCACGCGGTACTCAGACATTGGCAGCACGGAGCCACGCTGCCATCTCATCTTGTGGCAGCAGTGGTACTGGCTGCTGGAGACTCCTTACATGGTGCTTGTGCAGTGCAAACACCTTTCTGTTAATGACTCTTCGAGAATTTTCAAGATGGCTTCTCGTGCTGCAGGATTGAGGCAACTAACAAAATACGGTCCCTGCCATCATGCTCCAGGCCAAGGGTCATTCGCGGTGCTGCCAGGGGCTTGGGCGCCGCTTGAAATGACATCGGGACGTGCGAAGCCTGCCTAAAAAACAACAGTTCTGGAATTGATCTATTTCAGTCTCCCGCAGGTTATTCTGTAAGGCCAAAGCGGGGACTGAACAATTCGTACTGTTCCAAGTGTAACCTGGCTCAACTTCCAGGACTGTCGGAACCATTAGCTTGATTAACAAAACAGAGGGCAGCACGTTTGCCCTGGATGACACTGCTGGAGACCTGATCTTGTCCCAACTGAAACTTTGCCTCTAAAACTCCGAGCACAAACTTGGAATGAGATGCAGGCAGCGATCTCACCTGAGCTGCTTGACGAGCTGGCGCCCGGGGCCTCAGAACGCAGCCAAAGCAGTATGATTGCTTGATCTTCAACATCTAGGCATCCTTCCAAGCTGAAAGCATGCCGATTCGGGCATTCTGGACTGGAACCTGGTGGTCCACAAGCCACACTAGCAGTGTAACCATCGAACATGCTGGCCTGCATGGCAGAATGGCGTGGCTTGTGTCTGGAAAACAAGCCGCGAAGCTTTGCTTGTATGCTGGCATATGCCGGCTGCTGCCTGTGCGAAAACCCCTTGACGCAGGGGCTTGCATGCCCAAGGCCACCTGGAAATGGCATGCCATTGATGATCAAGGCTTTTGTTCAACCATATGCATGAAGCTGTTGTTTCTGAAGCCACCGACAAAAACAGCACTTGTTTGAGCCGGTTGCTTCACGGAGCTGAATCATGAGCAGGCAGAATTTTTGTGAACCTACACTTTGCCTTCCCATAAGTCGAAAAGAATCAGTTGTTAGTCACTGTTGGTATTTGAGTCTTCGTATTTTGTCCTGCGCTGCAGTATTGTCCTTGTGTGACAGGAGGCAGCAAAGTGCTGAACCTTTGACCTGTTCATCAGCTTTTGCCAACCTGCCACAAGGCTTTGCACACACCATTCTTTGCTTTGCCGGAAACAAGCAGCAAGGACGGAGGGCCACACAAGAAAGCTTGGAAAGCTTTTGCCAAGCACACAACGTTTTTGCTACCGTGCGTGCAGCTAAATGCTCAAATCACGTGCCTTGGCTCTTCTTGAGCAACTGGTACAGGAGGGCCGCCTGCAGGAATGCCGTGGCAGCAATCTGATGCAATCTGATGCAATCTGTTGATTGGCTGCATTACCAACGGCAGGCTGCGCTGCGGTTTTTTTCTTCCTGTCATGCCCACAAACAAACCCAACAAGCTGACGAAAACTTCATCAAGGCGTGTTTGCCAATTCTGGAACATATGCGCTCGGCTTTTGAGTGCAGAGGCTGTAGAAAGGCTCCATCTATCCATATTTTCCATGGAATGCAAGGGAGTGAGCTGCCTCATCCAAAAACAATGTTTGTCCTAATGCCTCATGTCAGCGATATGCTATGTCTGCAACCACGATTCCTTGATACGGGGTCTGCACGACCGGGACCCTGGAGCCTCTTATCAAGTTGCCAACTCTTGTGAACCATATCTGCATCAGCTTGATTTCTGACAAACCTCACAGCGTGATGGCAGTCAGAAACCAACACCAAGGCGTTGTACACACACACACACACATTTCGGAAACTCCCTACACAAGTAGGGGAAGGCAGCTTTCGACACTTCATGATCAATCTGGAGGTCTTGCACATCAAGTCATCTTCCCTTAGACCAACAGGGTTTGCTGCACACATGCACACATACCGAAAGAACCGAAACTCCCAAGCGAATGCAGTACAGGCACTCTTTCGCTGCAACATCTGATTTGGGGTTCTACAGGTTAGACTGTTAGAGTTTGGGGTCACTCAGGGTTTGGGGTCCGAAAGGATTTAGTCCTTGGTGTCCTTTTGGGGGCTTGGGGCTCTTTCGGGACTGCGGTGCTTTAGGGTTTGGGGCTTGTCAGGATTTGGGATCCCTCAAAAATCAGACCTTGGGGCTACTCGGGGTTGGTATTCTTAGGTTGTGGGGAGCTTTGGGGTTTTGTAGTTTTTGTGTCTTAGGATTTTGTCCTTGGGGGTGTCTTCAGGGTATGGGATTGTTGAGGGGTCTATGAGGTATAGGATTCATGGGTTAGGCCTTGGGGGTCTTGAGGGTTTAGGCTGGGGGTTCTCTAGTTCTAGGGGTTAAGTTTTGAGTTTCTTCGGGGTTCAAGATTGTTTAAGGTTTTGTCTTCGGGGTGTGTTTGGGCTTAGGGTTTGGGCTTGCTTGGGGTTTAGGGTTGCAGATACTTTAGGGTGTGCTTTAGGTTGTAGGGTTAAGAGCTCCTGGTTGTCTTGTGGGGTTCAGGTCTGGGGTTCTTTTGGGTTTGGGGCCCTTTGCAGTGCTGGATTTGAGAATGTTTATGGTTTGGTCCTTGGGATTCTTTGGGAGGATTACACTGTCTGGGTCGTGGGTTCTCTAAGGTTTGGTTTTTCGTGTTCTTTCTGGTTTAATTTCTTGTCAGGTTCGGGGTTAGGGTTTTATCCTCGGGCTGCTTTTAAGGGTAAGGGATTCATTAGGGCTTGTGGTGCTCTAGGCTTCCGGCCGGGACGCTGTGGGGGTCAGATCTTGGGCTTCTTTTGGGCTTAAGATTCTTTAGGGTCTAGTCTAGCCTTTGGGGTGCTTGAGGCTTCAGGGTTTGGTTTGTTTAGGGTTTGTTTGCTGTCGTTTAATCTCCTTTCGAGTTTAGGGCTTGCGGTCCTTTGGGCTTTAGCGGTTTAGCGCTTGGGGATCTCTGGAGATTATGGTGCTTTGGGTCTAGCAGCTCAAACAGCTTAGATCAGATCAGGCCTGCTTAGCTCGTTACCTAGTTCTTGAGGCTTTGTTTTCTAGTCCTTGGGGGTTAAGCGTTTCAAGGCGGTTCAAGAGTTCCTTTGCACTTGGGGTTATTCGGGTTTTTCAAGGTTTGAAGGTTTGAGCCCGTTGGGGATTACGGTGTTTTGGCTAAGGGGTTTCTAGGCTCTTGGGAATTTAGGTTGGGGCTTGGGGTTCGTTAGTGTTCAGGGCTTGGATCGTTTAGAGCTTAGTTCTTGGAATTCTTCCTTGCACGCTTTTGTGCCTGCCGAAGGCTGTTTCGGTTTGGGGTTTGGCTTCGTTACGGTTTAGGGTTTGGTGTAGGATCCTCTGTTTTGGTGCGTGTTTGATTTCTGTTGGTGCTTGTAAACTCTTGCGACCTTACAGCGAATGCCCAGAAATCACGGCGAAGACGCTTCACAACCCTCAAGGCTTGAAAATGCGCGCTGCTCTGCTTCAGGTGTTCAACAGGAGCAAAGTGGAATGCTTCGCAGCATGGCTTTCATGGCAAATATCACCAGACTGCATGGACGCATTGCCTACCACCTCCACAGGGCGATAGAAAGCACCAGCACTTGATTCAAGACTCTGCCTGCTTCGCCATCTGACCGAGCTGCGGGTTGCCGCCATGATGGAGATCAACATCATCGGCACATCATGAGCTCGAGGAGGAGCTTGACGAATCTCAGCAAAGTGCAAACGAATAAGCATCCTAATCCAGCAGTGCTGTGAAACCTGATCTTGCACCCCAGTCCTCTGAGGTTCATGCCTTTCTTCTTTTTTGCCTTTGACTTCGAGGCAGCTAGGTACTAGTCACTGGCCCGCTTCTTGCATAGTGAGAAGCTGAGGAGGCTGCTTTCTTGCCGCTTTTCTTCTTTTTCTTCTTCTTGTCCTAAAAAATACATGGAGTGGAGCTCAGGGCAAGAGCCTTCACCGTGCCAGCAACACAGCCACCAAAACATAAGTCTTCAATATGAATACACACATGCATACACATGCCTTCTTTGCTTTTTTGGTATCGTCTTTCCGCTTCGCTTTTCGTTTGCCTTGGAGTTTGCCCGCAGAAATTGGATGCAGAATTAATTTAGGATTTTTTTGTTTTTTTTGCGAATTGTTTTTGTTTTTGGCTTGTTTTCATGGAAAGTCTCAGGCGAGAGCTTGATTTGGCAATCAAAATCAGGAAAAATTCAAGGGAGAGCTCGTTTTTGGATTTCAAATGTGTGAAAATCTCAGGCGACA